ATAAGGGCTTGGTGATGATGAACTCCTTTAACTTGACCTTATCTGAAAAGCACTTTATCTTCCCTTCGATTCTAAATGAGAGCTTCGCTGGATAGAGCAATCTGGGATGTAGGTCCTTGTCTTTCATGACTTGGAATATTTCTTTCCAGCCCCTTCTTGCCTGTAAGGTCTCTTTGGAGAATCAGCTGACAGTCTGATGGGAACTCCTTTGTAGGTGACTGTCCTCTTATCTCTTGCTGCTTCTAGGATTCTCTCCTTCGTTTTTACCTTGGCTAATGTAATTATGATGTGCCTTGGTGTGTTTCTTCTTGGGTCCAACTTCTTTGGGGCTCTCTGAGCTTCTTGGATTTCTTGGAAGACTGTTCCCTTTGCCAGATTGGGGAAGTTCTCCTTTATTATTTGTTCAAATACGTGCTCCATCTGTTGCTTTTCTCCTTCCCATTCTGGTACCCCTATAATTCGAATGTTGGAACGTTTAAAGGTGTCCTGGATGCTCTTAAGCTTTTCCTCGATTTTTTGAATTCTTATTTCATCATGCTTTCCTGCTTGGTTGATTCTATCTTCCTTCTGGTCCACTGTACTGTTTTGAGACTCAGATTCCTTCCTTTCACTATTGGCTCTCCTCCGCGTATCTTCCTGCATCTCTTTTATGGTAACCTGCATCCTTTCATCTAAATTGTGCCCAAAATCAACCAATTCCGTGAGCTTTCTGATCACCAGTGTTTTGAACTGTGCATCTGATAGATTGGCTATTTCTTGGTCGCTCAAAAGGATGAGTCCTAGGGGACTGATCTGTTGTGTTGGAAACATGTCTTATGTCTTTCCCTGTCTCTCCTTTTCTTTTTTTTTTCAGTCTGGTTGCTCTTGTTATGGTGGGGGGCGGAGCCTTAGGTGTTCACCGGGGCTGGGCACCCCGGTCACTAGATTGTGACATTATATATGGGGGCGGGGGCGGGAGCAGGGACGGGAGGGAACAATGGCGGTAGTTCGTTCTCCTGGGCTCAGGCCCTTCCTTGGGGTCCTGGGCTGCGAGCTCTGCCCTGGTCCACAATCGCTGCCCCACAGGGTCCGGCAGCCGCAGCTTGCGTACTCAGGGATCACCGCTGCGTTCTTGCGCCCCGGATGGCTGTCGCGCCGATTTCGCGTCAAATTTTCCCCGACCTCCGCGTGCCGCCGACCCGCACCAGCCCCGCGACCGCCCGGCTCATCGTCTCCTACTGGTCTGGATGTATGGGTCTACTTCAACTTCTTGGCTGTCCGACTTCCATTCAGATAAATCCTCTGTCAGTTCTGAGTGATATTCTATCTGTAAATTATTGTTGTTCTAATCTTGGTTGTGCGAGGAGGCATGGTGCGTCCACCTATTCCTCCATTTTGCTGGAAGTCCTCTTTTCCTCTACTTTTGCAAAGTGGTTTTTGATATTCTTATTTTTAAATTCAAATGTATTCACCAAAAGTTGATACATACATCTGACTGCTTCATATGTCATATGTTGTCCCCAAATATTTATGTACTGAAATACATCAATTTTTATTGATATTAGAGAAGAGAAAGAGAGAGAAAAACATTGATTTGTTGTTTCACACATTTATGCGTTATTGGTTGATTCTTGTATGTGCTTTGACGGGAATCGAACCCACGACCTTGGCATATTGGGTCAACACTTTAATCAAACAATCTATCTGGCCAGGGCTGAAATAAATATTTTTTAAATAAATTAAAATAACTTTCTTTTTTATTTCTTCTTTACATTCAGTTAGGACATTATATTTTTCTAAAAATTTTTGTGTAGGTAGATATTAAAATATATATGTAATTCACAAGGGGAGATTGAGTCTAATAGACCCACTGTTTCCATCATGTAAAGAAAATACAACTGCCCTTAAGCACTATACATATTCTTTCTGCAAAGTCCTGTTGTTTCCTATTGTTAATCAGCAGCTTGGATATTTTGCCACATACATGGATAGAACGGGTTTTCTGTCTAGGCACTGTCATCTGTCTTGCCTTAAAGCATGTTTTTCATTCATGTCTGCCATTACGCATTTTAATCTACATATATCTTTTAGTTTTCTTCAACTTTACAGCAGGAGGTTCAGCTTGTCTTGTAATATTCATACATTTGAGATTCTTAGCAATGTTTTATTTCAGAAAAAATTGTAGGATTTGTAGTATAGTAATTCTTTTATCAGTTATCAACAAATATGTGCAGCCTGATTTTTTTAATCTAAATCCTGCCCCCCCTCCCCCACAAAAACCTAGTGAAATATAGTAGTTCCCTGCTTATTCAAAGGGGATGATCCCCAGTAGATTCCCAGTAGATGCCTGAAACTACAGATAGTACTGAACCTTATATATGAGGTCTGTCCAGAAAAAGTCCAGCCATTGTTAATATAATGAGAACAGTTTGTACGACATTGATGTAACCTGGCAGCCAAGGAGAGTAGACTGGAATGCACATGTGTGAACAATGACAACTTCACTGTTATAGTCAGGGGGAGCCGTGAACACCATTGAGTGAGCATGTATATTGTGTGGACATCTCATTCAAAGTGACTGAGTGAGTGGAGCAACAAACCTGCATCAAATTTTGTGTTAAGTTTGAACATTCCTCCTGGGAAACAATTCAGATGATTCAGAATGCTGTGGCTATGGGCAACTGGTGACTGGCAGCTTCATCACAACATGCCCACTCACGCATCACGTCTTATGCAGAGTTTTGGTGAAACATCAAATCACCCAGGTGACTCAGCCCCGCTACATCCCAGATTTGGTGCCCTGTGACTTCTCGCTTTTCCCAAAACTAAAATCACCTTTGAAAGGGAAGAGATTTTTAGAACATCAATGAGATGGATGACAGGGCAGCTGATGGTGACTGGGAGAACTGTGTGCGGTCCCAAGGTGCCTACTTTGAAGGGGACTGAGGCATCATTGTTCTATGTACAGTGTTTCTTGTATCTTGTATCTTCTTTAGTAAATGTCCCTATTTTTCATATTACATGGCTGGATACCTTCTGGACAGACCTCGAATATTGTTTTTTCTTATACATATGTACCTTTCCTTGTAAAGGAAGCACTTTATGGCTTCTCTCTGGCATGTTTGAATTACTAACACCACTACTCTTGGGCTTTGGGGCCATTAGTAAGTAAAGTATTGTAAAATAAGGATTACTTGAATACAAGCACTTCAATATCACAGTAGTAAGTCATATAGCCCAGAAAGCTATCAAGTGACTAATGGGCGGGTGGCACACTAGCACACAGTGTGGAGATGCCTGACAAAGAGATGATTCACGTCCTCGGCAGAACATGTGGGACAGTGAAAGATTTCATCACACTACTCTGAACAGTGCACAATTTAAAACTTATGAATTTCCATATTTTGCTGTGTATAATACACACATTTTGGCCCAGATTTTTGAGGGAAAAATAAGGATGCACATTATACAAGGGTATAATGATTATATACTGTGGGTATAATAATGGGCATAATGATTCCATGTATAATGAGCAGAAAACCATGGGTGCACATTATACATGGGAGCACATTATACATGGCAAAATGTGGTACTTCCGGAATTTCTAAAAAATATATTTATATTGTAGCTGACCATGGGTAATTGAAACCATGGATAAGGGGGAACTACTGTGTAATAGCTTTTGAGCAGTCTTATCAAGCATGTGTTAGATTAGCCAAGTCTTGTCAAATTATGGCTTCTGTTATATAAAACTAATATACAATGAAATTCTATGATAGAAAGTCAGTAGAGTAAAATAAAACCCAGGTTCTTGACTCTAGACATCACCTACTATTTTGGGCAAGTTGTGCAGCCTCTCTGAGCCTTGATTTTCTCATCTGCTTGTAGAGATACTGTCCTGCCTATTTACCAAGGTAATTGTTAGGACCAAACAACATGATATCTGCTAGAGAAGTGTAATTCTAAGATGCACTACAGTAGCTGGTAGGTGTCACCATTTAGAAAAGCTTTGGTCATTCAGTCAGTCTTGTAGATGGCTTCAAATTGTGTCTTTACCACCTTCACCAGGGTTAAAGCAATGCCATATATACGATTATTGGAAGGGGATTTTGGAAGAACATAATTGGCTCATTGGATAGCCATTGAGATGAAGAGATAGCAGTCTCATCCAAGGCACTGGAATTTAAAAAAACAGACAAGACAGATGCTAGAAGTAGGCAGGACTTGGAAACCAGTAGAACTTAGGGGTGAGGGGAAGGAAAGAATAGTTGAACCTGAGAGGCTGAGAGGTTGGTTGCTGACCACTGAGGCATGCTGTATTTGAACTACTGCTGGTACAGCTGGATGGAGATTTCCCAGGCTGTTTGCAGTGTGGGCCTGGAGCCCAAAAAGATGGTTAGAGATTAGATCAGGAACATCCCTGTAAGGATGTCCTGAAAAGAGACAAGATAGGAGCAAAGTGGGGAGCTTTGTAGAGTGAATGTCTGTGTTGAAGGGCCTGTCAGGCAAAAGGGGCCAGTGTCTTATCTGACCCCATGTTCTGCTGTCTGCTCTGTAGAATCTGAGATGTGGAAGGTGCATACTTATAATACTGCTATTATAAGCTTATATGTTATAAAAGAGGTCCATCAGGGCACATGCCTGGGTTGCGGGCCATGACCCCCAGCAACTGCACATTGATGTTTCTCTCTCTTTCTTCCTCCCTTCCCTCCCTAAAGATAAATAAATAAAATCTTTAAAAAAAAAAAGTCCTTGACATCTAATAGACTACTAGGTGAGATTACTCCTTAGGAAATCTTCTATAGGTAAACCAACTAAAAATAAAGAGACAAAAACCAAACAAGAATTTACACTTTGTTAAATAGCCCATAGCCAAGTTTAGGAATGGAATGTTTATTTTTCATATTCTGTGCTCCTGACAGATACTGCTCTATTCTTCCTGAAAGGCTAGCTTATATCAAATAAAGCATTGATATTGTTGATCTTTTCTAATTTTCTTTTTTCCCCTTTTTTTCCTCTAGATTTTACATTGTGCAGTAGGTAAGTATAGAATTATCCCTCTTACTGTGTACTGTGGATTCTGCTTCTTTTTTAAGTCATAAATAATAGGCTGATTTGATTATTATTGGTTATTTTAAAAACCAAACTAATTATTTTGTATAAAATTGCTTAAATTGGAATGGGTTTTGGTTTCTAAAATCACAAATACAATTTAGATGTTATCACTGAAGATTTTATTAAGTGCCACAGCTGTTTTTGCTCTGTCAATTTAAAGAAGCCTATCCTACCTTTTCATTACAGGGTAACAGAGAAACACTAGCTTATTTGTGAAAATGAGACTTGGGGTCCTGGTGCTGTAGAAAGCCTTTTCTGTTGTCACTTAAATGTTATATTCTCTTTTCTTACCTTTAAAATGGGAGTGCTGCATATATTACCTACCTCCCAGATGAATATTTAATATATCTGAGAGGGATCAGAAACTTGTAAATATAAATGGTTTTACAGATGTAAGGGGTTTCTGCTAAAAGCAGATACAGTGTGTTTTCTTTTGGGAAGAAAAGGCCATCAAATGCTGCTCTGGCACTGAGGCATAGCTTCTAGTCTGGGGTAGCTAAACCCCTTTAATTAAATGGAAATCAATTTTGGAAATTGACAGACCCTGTATAATAAGCTCATAGTGGTTGCCATGCATCCAGACTTGATTGCCAAAAGGAAGATTTGAGGTTGGTATTCAGTTCAGAAGCCGTGAAGGTCTGAAAACTCAAGAACTATGTATTCGAACCATTATGGCCCTGGTTCACAAATTAAGTGGATTCTTAATATATTCAGGGCACCACACTTGCCACTGGGGAATTCAGAGAAGAGGAAACTTACAGTTCAGGTGCGCAAATAGCAAAGTGTTTGCCATGGGTCTTGTAGGGGTCACTATGGTACCTGACCCCATTCATTTTAAGGAACACAAAGCATCTTTGTTATGAAGAGTTGCACCTTGTTTATTTTTGACTGGAAAGAAAATCTGCAGACAGGGATTTCTCATATGGTTTGCAGAATTTTGTATGCATTTTTTGTGTTTATTTTGGGGCTAGGTGAGTAGAATTCATAGCTTTCATTAGATTCTCAGAGGCGTGTGTGAGAATCACTGCTTTTAACGCAGAGGTTAAGAATCACTGCTTTAGACCTTTGAGCAATTGATTTGAATGGGACTTGGGGACTCATCTATCACATGGTCTGCTTCCTTAGAGAAGGTGAAGGAACCCAGCCCGGCTCACACCGCCAGCAAATGGTGGAACCTCGCTTGGACCCCGACCATTCGGAGCTAGAACCTGCTTGATATGATTTTATGGTGAATGGATTTTTGCTGATGTGAATCTCACAGACATTTCCTTTTTAACCCTTTATCTACAATTTTGAGGTGAAAAAAATCATCCCTTAAATCGTTAAATGAATTTTAAGTATAAGCTTGCAGACTAGGAGATATATTTGTCCAGAGAGAGAGTTCTAGAATCACTGCTGCCCTTCTCCACATACTGAGCCCTGTGCCCCCATTCTCCCCAACTCTCTGAACTTTCAACTACCTAGAAAGCTCTTAGATGCCTATGTTTTCTGAGCCCATGTGTACTATTGTTTTAGTTAATATTTCATTGTATGATAATCCATTCTCTTTGTCTTAGTATTTTCATATCTCTAAAACTTTCTACCCCTTGAAATAAAGTTTCTGACAAGAATATTCATTCATTCATATCAAAAACATTATGGAATGCCTGGCAGGTGGGTGCCAGGCACCGTATTGTGCAGTGGAAGTAGAGGGGTGAGCAGGCCCAGGCCTGGGCTCAGGAAACACAGTCCCCACTCTGAGGTGATGCATGGGTCACCGGCCAGCAGTGATCACGGAACGCTGTGGGTGGCTCGACGAAAGCACTCAAGAAAAAACACACATGCACAGAGACAGACCAGTTTCTGTGGGGAAGTAGGGACGAAATGGCCACCCCCCCTAGTGGGAAGCACCCCAATTTACCATCCATACCTGCTTTTATTGGGCTCATTTTGCATAATAATTCAGGTAAAGTACAGTACTCATTAGGGGGAAGTAAGGAACTATAGAAAACAAGGAACTCTGCCGGTCTATTGAGTTGGGGTCAAAGAGCTGTAAGACTTTGAGGAACAAACTAACTTCCTCCTAAGACCCTTCTCATTTAACTAAGAGCATTCTAAACAAAGAAGGTTTCACAGTAATTCCCTTCTCATTCAACTGAGAGCATTCTAAACAAAGAAGTTTTCACAGTAATTTACATATTCTTTCTTAGGCCTGATCACCCGGGGAATCCGCCCTTTTCAGCACAGAGCTGCACCACCCTGTCATTGTTTCAGGCTTAGGTGGAGCAAGGGAACTAAGGCAACCAAGAGATAAGGAGATTTTCTCCCAGAAGATGAGAACTCAGGCTCTGTCAAAGCCGAGGAGCGAGGGTCCATCACCCCCTTTTGCTGCAGCCTCCCAACTCCTTTTGGGGGGGCCTCCCAAAGTGATCGTGCCTGTCTTAGGTCATTTCCCCCTTGGGGAATCTTACCCGTCTTTGGCTAACCGACCAAGCTTTTTGGGGTTCAGTCATGAATAAAGCAGCAGAAGCAGCATTCCTGCCAGGGAGATAAGCTTTTGTCTCCTTGCTGGCTTATAGTTCCAAGGGCATTCCCTTAGCCTTAGCTAGGCGGGGGTTTCCGCTTCTGATACCAGTCAGGGCGGTTCCCAACACTGAGGGGCTCTTGCAGAAGGCATTCCACAGACTGGCATCCGTGTCACACTCTGCTCTGATGTGTTGACGGGTACCCCTGGCACAGTTGATGCTTTAAAATTTCTTCTTATTTCCTCAGAGACCTTGTCTGTCAGTGATGCTGTCTCCCACATCATCACCCTTTGTCATCTGCCTTTTCCTTCTCCGCTCACATGACGCTCAGAGTCCTCCATCCTAAAAATTATTTTTAACCTAACCTTTGACCGTACATTCCTCCCTTTCAGTTATATAATTCCTCTTAAACTCTTACAAAGCTTAAACTTTGTAAAAGTTTATGGTAGGCTCTGTCAACATCCTCAGTCCCATTTATACCTTAACCCAGTAGTCAGGCTTCTGTCCTCATTGTCCCACTAAGACTGTTACAGAACAGAACAAGGGGGGCCTGAGACAACATACTATTATTGAAAGAAGGCCCCGGGTCCGTTTTGTCTGCCGCCCTAGGAAAGACGTCTCTCAATGCCAGAGATTTGTGAAAAGGAAAGGAAATGTTTATTTAATGCTATACAAACTTCAAGTAATGACCTAATGTCTTTATCAAAAATCCTAAAGTCCCCCAAAACACCCACAAACACACACAATCCTTCCTTCCTTCCCCCTTTGCCCAGTCCAGAGTACCGTATCTTAGGAAAGGAAATAGAAGTCCATGGCTCAGGCAGTCCTCTGGTTCTTAGTTAGTCCTCCATCTCGACTGGGAGACCTCCCTGGGTTCCTGGCACTCTTGGCTGAGTCGCCGGGATCTCTGCTAAAACCAGGTGGTGGTTCCCCTTCTAAAGCTGTGGGGGTCCCCACTCTGTCCAGGCCTCGTGGTTCTCCCTCTCAGGGCTGCGGGAAGGGGAGAGTCCCCACTCTGTCCAGGCCGCGTGGTTCTCTCTCCTAAAGCAGCCACGGTTCTTCCTCCTCTCAATGGCCGTGATCCTCTCTGCACCTCCACAGCCACATGGTTCTCCCTCAGGGCTGCGGGAAGGGAGAGTCCTCACTCTGCCAAAGCCGCGTGGTTCTCTCTCCTAAAGCAGCATGGTTCTCCCTCAATGGCTGAGGTCCTCCCTATTCTGCTAAAGCCGCATGGTTCTCTCCTCTAAGGGCTGCGGGAAGGGGAGAGTCCCCACTCTGCCAAAGCCGCGTGGTTCTCTCTCTCTGGGATGCGCGAGTCTCCACTCTGCTAAAGACGCATGGTTCTCTCCCTTAATGGCCGCCAAGTCTGGGTTTTAAATCCCCACGGCCAATCTTCCTCTGCAGCCTCATTTCCAACTCCTCCCACACTCAGCTTCACATGCCAGAACTCGTATCCTTCCAGCTTTACTGGGCTGCCATCTTGAGTCTGGGCAGGCGTGGCCCCATGTCCTGGAGCCAATCTTCTCCAAGCTCCCACGCAGGCGCTGTAGCTTGGGGGATCTGCCTCCAGTCACGTCTTGGTGGGGAAGTTACTTCCATTCCCCTGGCTCAGAGGTGATCACAGCTATTTAACATATCTAAGCGACCAGCCAAAGGCTATAGATATGTTAAATGACCACGCCAGAGGGTAGCTGCAAGGCTGTTGCTATGCAAAACAGAGCTCAATGGCCCTTGCTCCATTTGTCCCTTCCCCCAACCCACACCCTGGGTGGGGGGATGGAGACATCTTAAAATCTCCTGGACACCTTAAGTTCTGGACCCCACTTCAAATGCCCATTTGGGGTCCCCCCTCTTGGCTGCACCCTGTAACAAGACTGCCCCCCAGTCTAAACTCAGCAGCAGTTTCTGCTGGACACATGGAACTGACTGGACTTGTGAACTATAGTTGGCGCCGCCGATGACTCCCTCTGAGACCCTGCTCCTTTAGCTTTCACCAGAAAGAGCCCTCCCAGCTTTTCTTGTCCTCTCTGGTTCTTTTCTTTCTTTGGGGCTTGTCGTTCTGTCCTTGCCCCTGAATTGTGGGTGTCCCAGGGTATGATCTAACTCATTGTTGTTCTGACCGAACACACCCTTTGTAGGTGGTTACTTCCTTTCTCATAGTATGAGATGCCCGTGATAACTGCTTCTCTCACTCCAAGCCACACCTGCACCCCAGACTCCAGACTCACGTGTTGACCTTCTGGGTACCCATTCCGGAATGTACACCTTCTCAACATGACTCAGCCTCCCAAACTCGTTCTGCCTCCCACATTGTCAGGGGCACCACCAGTCACCAGCCATTCAGTCACCCTTCCTAGACCTAGAGCTCATCAGTGGTGCCTCATTCTCAATTACCCACGCTTTTATAATCTGCTGGTTGTC